TTGGGGTGTGCCGGTGCGCTCCCAGGGTGCCAGTGAACAGCATGCGCCTGGCTGGAAAGTGAAGAAAATGCCACCTTGAGCTGCTGTGACTGTGCTGTCACCCGCCCGGGCTGGGAAGGAGCCGGCTGCTGTCCTTGGCTGTGCTCTCTCTTGGGGACCATTGCGCTGGGATTAGCCCGGGTCAGACCTGGGAAGACGTGGCAGAGTGGAAACATTATTTTCCTGGGGAAAATAACCCCCCATAGGACACATTCCTGGCCCTGTCACCCTCCCGGGGCCACGTGCCAGCCTGCGGGACCCCTGCCCTGACGGGTGTTGGTGTCCTGCGGGTGCCAGCCCTTGGTGTGTTATGGGGCTGGATCCAGCTCAGGGCCATAGGGCTGGGGTGTCCTCGCCCTCGAGAGTGGCTCCCCTGGGCGAGGCTGCCTCCCTCCCCTTGGTCCCCATGCCTGGGGTGGAGCAGGAGGATTTCCACTGCTGCTAAAAAACGGGAGCAAAAATAGCGCTGGGTTTTGGCACAGGGACAGGAACAGGCTGCAGGGGCAATGCAGCTGTGGGGGAAGGAGGGAGGCGCTCAGTTTGGGCTGGCTGGGTGGCAGGAGCACCCCACAGGCAGGCAGACGCAGGGGCCAGCCCCTCCGTGTCCCCTCACCCAGCAATGTCCCACTCGCCCGTTCTGGCTGCTTGGTGGTGCTTGGTTCCCTCCCTGCAGTGGGTGCTGGGGAGGTCCCTCTGCCCGGCCTCCCCAGGTGAGAGCCCCATAAATACCGCACGGCCATGGGTGGCACAGCTGGAGCCATGGGGACATGGCTCCGTCCTCCCTCCTGCGGGCAGCGCAGGGTCCCTCTCCCTGGGTGCCTGTTGGGGCACTGCCTGTAGGTCTCGTCCCCAGCTCAGGTCTGGGACTGGGACGTAGATCTGCTCCAACTGGGAGCAATGGCTGTGTGAGCGCCGGGTCATTCCTGCGTCCCCGCAGGCCAGTCCCTTCCCCCTCCGTGCCATCGATGCCGCCTTCTTCCCTGCACCACTGCAGGTGTCACCTCCTGGGGTCCCCAGCTGCCTCATTAAAGCTGTGTTCCTTGTTACCTTGCCGCCGAGCCGCTCCAGCCCAGGTTGCCAGGTCTCCCACAGTGGCAGAGCCACTCTGGGTGCCCCTGTTGCCCGCTCCGCGGTTAAGCCCGGAGCTGCAGACCTTGGCCTTGGTGGAGGGGAGGTGGTGGAGCCTGACAGCCTCTGAGTTGGTGTGCCTGGTGGGGACCATCAGCTTTGTCCCCTCTCTGCTGCCTTGGCTCCCCCTTAGACCCCGCCTGATGGGGAAGGGTGCTTGGGCGAGAGGTTTGGGTTTCTCTGGGGCATCCCCAGCCCGGGGACAGTGCCTGGTTGGGTGGGCTCAGGGGAGCTGCATGGGGTGGGTGTCCCGGGGAGGTGGCTGTCATGGGGGAACACCAACGCTAATGCACCTCATGCTGCTTCGCTCCTGGCCGGTGCTGGAGGCATCCCAGCTGGGACCCGTCAAAGGCAGGAGGGATGAGGGACATCCCACTCCGAGGAGGCAGGACGAGTTAGAGCCGGGGATCCCCTTTCCCTGGAAGCTGAGGACCGGGGGGAGCTACGGGCTCCCCCATCTCTGCCCATCCAGCTAGTTCATACCCAGTCAGCTCCTGGGTTGAATGGGGCCGCTGTGGCCTGGTGAGGGTGGCACCCCAGCCTCTGAGGGATGGTTATTAGCTGCTAATTTCTAATGAAGCAAGGTCTGAGAGGGGCTGCGATGCCCTGACAGAACTGGGATGCATCTGGTCTGTGTCAGGGCTCTCTTCCATCCCACCCTCAGATGCAGCATGGGACCCCCCCATCCCTCCCCACCAGCAGCGGGCAGGGCTCCCGGCCTGAGCAGGCTTCGCAGCAGTCTTTGGTTTAAAGATTTATCCACTTTAAATATGAAGCCGAATGCAATATTAATGTGCTGAGTAGTGTTGGTGGGAGTCAGGGGAGTCCTTGGCTGGGGCAGTGGGGCCATGGGGGCATGAAGTAGCAGCGGTGCGGGGTTTGGTCTGGGATGGCTGCTCCAGCCCCACACACCCAATTTTGACCAGGGTGTCTGCCAGGGTCTTGGCTGGGGTCCACCAACTGCCCGCAGCCGGGGAGCCCGTGGGGATGGCCATGGGGCTGCTGGGCAGGGAGGGGAGCAAGGGCCTGATGTGGGGTCGGGTTGGGTGAGCCATGCCCGCCACCTATTTGGGAGCTGATGAGGGGGTCTCGGCCACGAGGGGGGTTGGGCTGGGAGTGGGGGTGCCGGCTGCCCCCCGTGGCCACCCCTGCCGCAGCCAGGCTCCCTTCCCCCTCCCCTTTGTCAGCATCTCGGGGCTGCTGCAGCCGCCTCTTCCTGCCGCCACTGAGCCGCTGCCGTTTCCATGGTAACAGGTTAGGATGTACCCCGGTTCCCCTGCTGCGCCCCGGGGACCCACCACAGACCTCAGACCCTCCCTGCTCCCACTCGGGGCTCCAGCTCCCCAAAACAGCTTCCCCCAGGCTGTGGGCAACAGGGGCTTGTGGGACAGCGTAGGGCATCCAAAAATGGGTGCTGGCCTGGTGTGGCAGTGGCCTTATCCTGCGCTGGGGAAAGCAGACCCCTTCTGCCCCCCGAGTGTGGCCTGAGCCACCCATCTGCCATGAAGCTGCCGCCATCCCCCTTCTTCCAGGGCGGGTGATAGTGTCCTCCATGCTGCGGACCCCGGCATCCTGGCACCTGTTCCCACGCTCCAAGGAGGATGGGCTTGGGGAAGCGGGGAGGAGGGCGGCCGTGGCTGCCAGCCCGGCTCCATCCCTCCCTGGGGATGGCACGGGGATGGTGGCTGCCAGGCCGGCAGGGCAGAGCTGCTTGTGTGGGGCCAGGGCGTCTGGCAGAGCAGCTGTCCCTGCGCAGACGAGGCCCACGGCCTTTCGAGGCTGTTAATTATGCAAATATAGGGAAGTGTGTCGAGCGGAGGATGCCCTGCGGGCCGAGAATGCTCTGTGTGATGTCCTGCCTGCTCGGCCAGGCAGGCAGAGAGCAGGCAGCTGAGGCCAGCGGGGCTGGGGTGGGCTGTGGGTGCAGGTGTGCGTGTCCGTGCGTGGCCCCGGGTATCGGACACGGGGTCAGTCGCCCGCAGGTAACTGCAGGCTGGGGCAGTTGTGGTGTGCCATGCGGTGACTCTCAGCGTGCTGCTGCCTGGATGCTCACCACCACCCTCTCTTCCCCTGGCAGACTTCAACTATGGTGCAGATGAGTACGACGCCGAGGGCAACGAGGAGCCCAAGGTGCTGCCGGAGGGCTCGGAAACCATGCCCTACATCGACGAGTCGCCCACCATGTCCCCCCAGCTCAGCGCCCGTGGCCAGGAGAGCGGGGACGGTGTCTCACCCACGCCCACTGATGGCCTCGGCACGGGGGTAGGTGCTCGGGACGCAGAGCTCTGTGCCGGGTGTGGTTGAAGCCAGGGCTGGGGGTGCCCAGCTTGGTTGTTTCAGCGGTGTTGGCTGTGCTCTGGTGCTGCGGTGACCTGGGGGACTGTCCCCTGGCTTGCCAAACCCTGCTGGCCATGGCCCTCTGGGCTCTGGGGAGCAGCACCCTGTTCAGCTGCTGTTTGTGAGGGTGCCACGTCTGTGGGACACGTGTCCCTGCCCCGTTGTGCCATGCTGGTGGCAGAGCCAGGATGGCACGGGCCGGGCAGAGAGCGGGGGCCGGGGGCTGGAGCCCAGCCGGGCTGGCTGGGGGGCATGGGGG